TCCCTGCCCGTCGTCGACGTCGTCAGCCGCAGCGCCGACGGTGAGAGCCTCGGGGCCCTCCGCCACCACGAAGTCCGCGTCGCAAGCCGAAGGGGGCGCGCTCGAGGCCGCACTCGCGCACGCCGCGGAGTGGTTGAAGCCGTCCAGCTCCTTCAGGTCGCCTCCGAACTCGTGGCAGGCAAGCTGCCTGGCCGAGCCCTGCTCCGCATGCTCGAGGTCCCCTTTCCACCAGCGGGGCCCCGAGGCGAGCGGGGCGGGCACGGGGGCAGCCGAAAGACGCGCTCGATCAGCGAGAGCGAAGCGGGCGCCCGCTGGGAGGCTGCGCCCGCGGCGGCAGGCGACCTCCCAGGAAGCCGACACGCCCTCGGCGGCCGAGCGGGCCGCGGGCTGGCGCCGGTGGGGCAGGGCGCCGGAAGCCCCGCGAGGCGGCCGCAGCCGCACCGGAGGCCCAGCACCAGCAGGGCGAAGAGGAGGAAGAGCTCCACGGCCGCGAACACCAGCGCCGCGACCGTGACGAGGCTGCCCCCCATGCCGACCCCGCCGTGCCCTCGGAGCAGCCGAGCGTTGCAGGCGGTTGAGCGCCCGCTGAGATAGCCTGCGCACCTCCGCCGCCGAGATCGTCGGGTTGTGGCTGACCACGTTCCGACGCCCGACGTCCAGGGTGGCTGCAGGCTCGTTGAGGAGGTCCGCCGCCATGACGGGCGCGACCAGCGCCAGCCTTGCGACGACCTCGGGGACCGCGGCGCGGAGCAGCGGGTCCCTCTTGCCGTCCAGGTCCGCGGAGTCCTCGCACAAGCTGTCGACGTCGCCGCCCGAGCCAGCACCAGGAAGATCACCACCGTCATGGACAGCATCCGCCGCAGGGGCCGCGGAGCCGCGGGCCTCCTGCGCGGCTGCGGTGCGAGGCCGCAGCCGTGAGCCGAACGGGCCTGGCTAGCGTCCACGCGTGGCTGAGCCCTCCGCCTGGAGCCGCCGCGCACCTTCCGCCTCGATGTCAGGCTTGGCCTCGAGGAATCCATGGCCGCCTGCACCGCCGCGCGCAGGCAGCGAGCGAAGGCCGCCGCCTGCCGGGAGGCCCTCCGCGAGCCAGAGGGAGACCCCACGCAAATGATGGGGCTCAGCAGCAGCCGCGCGGGCTGCTTGGCCGCCGCCCGCAGCCATCTCCCCACGCGTCCGATCACTGCGGCCTCCCGCGGGGCCCAAAACGAGTGCGAGCAGAAAGGGAACGGCTTGAGCCAAAATGGCTACGGGGGATTAGAGCCACAGGAGAAGGGCAATCTATAGGAACACGCGTAAAACACCAAGGACTCGTGCCCCAGGAGAGGCCCAATATATAGGAACATGAGTAAAACATTTAGGATTGTGTACACAGGAGAAGGAACATCTATAGAAACATACGTAGAACATCGAAGAATCGTGCTCCAGGTGAGGCCCAATCGATAGGAGCATACGTAAAACACATGGGATTGGAGCCACTCCTGTTGCCTTCTGAGGCCTCCTGCTCCTGGGGCCTCTCGGGGCCTCCTGTTGCCTTCCGAGGCCTCCTGGCGCTTCCTGTTGCCTCCTGGGGCCTCCTGTGGTTTCCTGAGGCCTTCTGAGCTTCCTGGGGCCTCCTGGAGCCTCTTGGGACATCCTGTGGCCTCTTGAGTCTTTCTGTGGCCTCCTGATGCCTCCTGGGACCTCATGTGGTCTCCTGGGGCCTCCTGGAGCCTGTTGGAACCTCCTGTGGCATCCTGAGAAGAATCTGCGCCCACGAGCCTGGCCACTAAAACAAGCAAACCGATCGAGACATCCTCAAAATCTGGCCCACCTGGGGGGTGAAAATGAGCGCCTCGCTCGAGACATCCTCCAAATCTGCTCCGAAAGCGAAGGATGTTTAGGGGCACCAGAAACAGGTGCAAAAACGCGCCGAGAACATCCCGCAACGCGAAATGGCCGCGAACGAGCCCGTGCAACCACCCCTGGCGGCTCCCCTTAGGGGTGCTGAAATGAGCGCCTCGCTCGAGACATCCACCAAATCTGCTCCGAAAGCGAAGGATGTTGGGCACAGAAACAGGCAAACCGCCTGAGACATCCCCACAAAATGGCCGCGAACGAGCCCGTGCAACCACCCCTGGCGGCTCCCCTTAGGGGTGCTGAAATGAGCGCCTCGCTCGAGACATCCTCCAAATCTGCTCCGAAAGCGAAGGATGTTGGGCACAGAATCAGGCAAAAAAAAACAAGCAAAGAACAAAAAAAAGAAAAGAAGCGAAACAAGAAAATACCAAGAAAACAAAAAAAAGCAAAAGGCAAACCGCTGAGACCATCCCCACAAAATGGCCGCTCAAGAGCCCGTGCAACCACCCCTGGCGGCTCCCCTTAGGGGTGCTGAAACGTGAGCGCCCTCGCTCGAGACAAAAATCCTCCAAAATCCTGCTCCGAAAGCGAAGGAAGTTGGGCACAGAAACAGGCAAAAACCCGCCTAGACATCCCCACAAAATGCCGCGAACGAGCCCGTGCAAAACACCCCTGCGGCTCCTCCCCGTAGGGAGCTGAAATGAGCGCCTCGCTCGAGACATCCTCCAAATCTGCTCCGAAGCGAAGGATGTTGGGCACAGAAACAGGCAAACCGCCTGAGACATCCCCACAAAATGGCCGCGAACGAGCCCGTGCAACCACCCCTGGCGGCTCCCCTTAGGGGTGCTGAAATGAGCGACTCGCTCGAGACATCCTCCAAATCTGCTCCGAAAGCGAAGGATGTTGGGCACAGAAACAGGCAAACCGCCTGAGACATCCCCACAACATGGCCGCGAACGAGCCCGTGCAACCACCCCTGGCGGCTCCCCTTAGGGGTGCTGAGTATGAGTAAGTCTGTGTATGAGTAAATCTGTGTATGAGTAAATCTGGGTATGAGTAGGTCTGTGTATGAGAAAGTCTGTGTATGTGTACGTCTGGGTATGAGTAAGTCTGAGTATGACTAATACTGTGTATGAGTAAGTCTGGGTATGAGTGAGTCTGTGTATGAGTACGGCTGGGTGTGAGTAAGTCTGTGTATGAGTAAGTCTGTGTATGAGTATGTCTGAGTGTGAGTAAGTCTGAGTATGAGTAGGTCTGAGTATGAGTAAGTCTGAGTATGAGTAAGTCTGTGTATGAGCAAGTCTGAGTATGAGTAAGTCCGACAGGAGGGGAGGAGAAAAGAGGAGGAGGAAGGAGGAGTAGGAGGCGTCCAAGTAATAACAAGAACCCCATCTTAGGATATGGGGAATAAGAAGAAGGGGCCATCACATCGGTAAGGTTTCGTGGCCCTGGGCATGATCTCCCCCCCCCTGCGGTCAGGAACTCTTGCTCAGCGTGTCGCGGGGGCGGCCCCTGCGACACGCTGGGCCTTGAAAGCTGCTGGCGTGCCGCTCTGCTTCGCAGAAGGGGAGGCTGGGGCGAGCTTGGAACCGAGAGCGCACTTGGCCGACTTCGGCAAGCCTGGATGAACACATGCCGACATCTCTCAGACGAAGCCAAGACGATGTTAAACATCGGGCGAGGACAAGTCGGGGATCTCTGAGATCCAGCGGTTCTGGAGGATGTCTCGGGCGCCGCGGCCTTCTCAGAGCGTTCTGGCACGCTCGGAGAGCACTCCAAGAACGCTCTTTGGAACGGGTCCGTCCCTGTTCCGTCGAGCTTCCGCCACTGTCCGCCGGCAGAGCCGCTGCCGCCGCCGAGGGCAGGGCGCGCCGACGGCGAGGCCCTTTCTCGGGCAGCTGCGCCTTGGTGGTGAGCAGCGGCGGGCAGCGCGAGGGGGGCGGCCTTCCCAGAAGGGCAGCGCGAGGGGGGCAGCGCGAGGGGCCTCCCCAGAGATCCGCTGTCTTGACCTTGCCAAGACAATCGAAATCTGTAGTAAGGGCGGGCGGCAAGGACGTGAGGGCCTTGCTCGCCGAGGTTGGTATTCAGTGGGCGGCGGGCTGCCAACACCCTGAAGGGCTGGTCAATGAAAACCGCGAAGGACGGGCAGCAGATGCAAAGACGCAAGAGTAACCTCAGGACATCCGTGCGTCCATACTATGAGTTTTGACTGTACGCCACCCCCCCCACACCCCACCCAGACGTCCCGACCCCCGCCTAAGAGCCAGCTTTTCATCCCGAGCCGTTGTTGTCTGACGGTCCGAAGGCCTGGTGAGGTCGGCTACACGCAAGAGTGACCCCAAGCAGGAGTGACCTTTGGTGCACGGCTTTAGGGTAGCGCGGGGGGGACAATTCCAAGTGCAAAGCCAATGCTCAGGGAGCACTGTGAGCCCGTAACAAGGTCACTCCGGCCACGGGTCACTCTTACGAGAAGCCGAAAAAGGCCCCTGTAGACCGAAACTGGCGAAAACCTTCCGTACTGCTTTTTTCAATGCGCTGGATGTGCGCAGCTCGAAGGAGGCAGACGCTTCCAAAATCACAGAGACCCCATGGTGGCGCAGCGGACAGGCTGGTCAACTCGAAGGCCTCCGCCCCCCAGGACGGTCTTATGCAACGTCGCCGCATGGGGGCAGCCTCGGCCTGCTCCATGGGAGATCCCACTCTCGGCTACACGCAAGAGAATGACCCTAGGTAAGAGTGGCCGTGCGTGCGCGGCTTCAAGAGCTCCGTGGGGCTACATCCCTCGGCCTGATCCGGGGGAGATCCGGCTCTCTCCTACCCGCAAGAGGGTGACCCTACGCAAGAGCGACCGCTGGTGCGCGGCATCAGAAGGGCACAGTGGGGGCCAACCTCAGCCCGACCTGGGGGGAGATCTGGCTCTCGCCGACACGCAAGGGGGTGACCCTGAGAAAGAGTGACCGCTCGTGCGCGGCATTCAGAGCCCCCCGGGGGCCAGCCTCGGCCTGGCCCCAGGGGAGATCCGGCCCTCTCGCCTACACGCAGGCGGCTACCTACCAGACCACCCCAACCCAGCCCGAGGACCCGAATTTCGGGTTGGGGGGGGTACGGGTTCCGCATGTGTTTTTCAATGTTCCCCGATCCCCCCCACTGAAAATGGAGGGCAACTTGAGGCCTTCGAGTTGGGTTGGGGTGGTTTGGTGGGTGGTGAGCAAGAGAGTGACTCTAGGCAAGAGTGACCGTCGGCGCTGACAGCGATGGCGGACGAAATCCACTCATAACGGTTCCCAGACCCCCCCTGGGGTCCATCCTGGGCAGTCTCTCTAACTGCGTCAACCATTGGCAGCGAGGCCCTCAAGAAACGCCCTGATAGCATCGCAAGCGACAAGCTCGACGACGACCCAGACGTTCGACGCCTTGACCAAAGACGAAACCAGGGGCGGCGCCGAAGGCGCAGCCAGGTGGCACCAGCGCAGATCCAAGAAATCCGCGTGGAGCGCCGAAAGATTATGCTTATGCTGTTTTCTCGTCTTCGATTGACTTTTTCAAGGCGGGGCCCCTGGAAACCCCGACCCCTGCCAGAGGGGCCACGCGAAACGGGGGGGGAAGGGCACCGAGGGGGGGGGGGGAACACCGACCCGGAACCCGCGATGCATGTCGCCGATCGATCGGCGAAGCAGGCCCCCCAGGGGAAAGATCCCCTGGCTCCTGGGCGGGTTGGGGCCATCGGGCCCCGATCTCCGATCCATGGGCCATTGGGGGGCGATGCGCTCCCCCCCCCCTCTGGGCCCTATCCCCCTCTGTCGTTGCCCCCGCGGAAGGCTGAAACGGTGAAAACGGTGAAACGTCACATCCTCGTTCGGTGCGCCAGAGGTCCGGGGACGCCGCCGCCGACGCAAACGCCGCCGCCGAGGAACGACGCCGCCGCCGCGGGCGAGGCTTAGGTCGGGCATGTCCTCCTACAGGAAGACTTTGGACGAAACATGAAAAATAGTCAGAGCATGCCCAAAAATAGTCAAAGAATCGTCCCCAAATTATTCTTGGACTATCTTTGAGCATTCCTCCTGTAGAGGGATAGGCCCGACGTAACGCGAGGCCTCCGGTGCCGCCGCGCCGCCGCCGGCGCGCCCCGCGAAGCCGCCCCCGGCGCTGCTGAGGGAGAGGTAGAGCAGGCCGGCGGCCTGGCGCTGCTGGCAGGGGGCGGGGCAACGATAGGGTTGGGTCGGGCATGTGCCCCTACAGGCGGATTTTGGACGAAAAATAAGAATAATCAAAAAATACTCGAACAATCTTAAAAATTATAGCCAGAGTGCAGTATCCCCAAACAGGGTTTTTAAACCCACTGAGGTTTCCGAGGTCGATTGCGTGCCCGTCCAGTGCGGGCTGGCATGCCATGTCCCCCTACAGGCGGATCTTGGGCGGAAAATATACATAAACAAAACATTATCAAACAACTTTAAAAATAGTCGACAAATCGTCCCCATACTATAGAGGGACAAGCCCGACCTAACGATAGGGGGGGACGGGCACTGGGGGGCAGACATCGACATGCAATCGGCGATGCACGTCGCCGGCAGATCGGCGATGGGGCCCGACAGCAAATCCGCGCTTTTTCTGGGCAGGGGCCCTTCTTGGCGATGAGTGGGCACAGGGGGCTGCTCCTCCTCCTCCTCCTCCTCCTTCTCCTCCTGCTCGGTGATACGTCGCCGGTAGATCGGCGATGGGACCCGATAGCAAATCCGTGCTTTTCCTGGGCAGGGCGGAGCCACCGGGTCCCCTCATCGGCGATAAAATGGGCGATGGGGGGTCGAGGGGTCCATTCCTGTGCCTGTCCCCTGCGATCACTGCCATTGAGGGGGGAAGGCCCGGATCGGAGCGGAGGGCCGCGACGTGGCGCCGCTGCCGTCGAGCTTGGATTGGGGAGGACACGCGAGAGGACACGGGACCCCTCCGAGGGCCACATCGCCAGGGGGGCGGCGTAGAGGGCATGGGGCGCTGAAGGACAGGATGCACACGGCACCCTCGGTTTGGCAAGGCCGACCTGTAACCAAGCCCGACGAACTTGGAGCCGCAGCTGGAGGCGCGCCGCCTCCCAGTAGAAAGGCTGCATGGGGGGGGGGGGGGATGGGGAGCTAGGAGGGGGAGGGGAGGGGGGGGGAGGGGAGGGGGGGCAGAGGAGGAGGAGGAGAAGGAGGAGGAGGAGGAGGAGGAGAGAGAGGAGGAGAGGAGGAGGAAGAGGAGAAGGGGGCAGGACCTGCAGCTGGAGCGAAGCTCCCGAGAGTCCCCCATCAAGCTCGGACCCCCTATTCCTTCGCCCGCCTGTGGAAAAAACAAGGGGCTCGCCAAGGGCCCATGCGTCGCCCGCCTGAAAGAAGAAAGGGCTCGCCGAAGGACTGTGTTTCTTCTTGTCCGAGTCGGGCGAGCCCTCTGTAGTGGCGTCGGGTGGCCTCCTCGAGAGCCAGGAAAACACCCGCGACGAGTGCGAATTCAGTGATCCTTCCCCGTCCTGGTAGCTGGCGCGCAGGCTGCAAGCATGGGCCAGGGGTCGCCTGTGGCCGTTCGGCCGAGGGGGAGGGAGATCTCCAGTGCGCCGCTGCAGCCAAAACTTTGAATGTACAAGCTGCTGATGTTGAGCTGGCTGGTTGATGGGATTAGGCCTGAGCCCAGCTGGAGACGGTCTTGGAGGGCGGCAAACCTTTACACAGACGCTGGAGCACCAACAACTGGGACCTGGTTATGGCATGAGCTACGAGGGAGACTACCGAACAGGAAAGGGGGGCGGAAGAAGGACCCATACCCCCAACGTGTTGGCGAGCATCAGTGCGGTGTACGTTCTCCGTTTTTTGGCGGCGCGCACACATGGTGTTTTTTTGGGGGGCCTGAGAAGAAGGCGGCGAACCTTACTGCATCCCTGCAGCGAGCCCTCCACGTCGGTCCCACATGGCCGGTGGGACCAGGCCTAGGCATCACCCAAGGACTTCCCTCGATTACTCGAGAGCGACCTCGGCGTCTGAGAAGCCTTCATAGAAGCTTCCTGGCGTCTAAGACGCTCCAGGAAGTCGCGCCGCACGGCAGTCACGAGGAGAGCCTGGCGAAACCATGCTGGGACTTTCTGGATGCCTGTGAGGGACGTTCTTGGCATGTTCTTGGGGGGCTCTGGGATGGGGCCTCTTCGGCTTTGATTGGGGCTTGAGGCGCTTCTACGAAGGCCACCGCCCTCTTAGAAGGCCTCTGAGGGCCCTCCCCCCTTGCGCCACCTCCCTTTGTGTGCGCCGCCCACGTCCTCGTCCCTTCCGTCCTCTCTCCTCGCAAACTCCTCAGTCTCATCACGGGTACTCTCCCATTCTCTCCCTCCAATTCCTGGCTTCCCCTGCTCCTCGCCCTCCCCCCTCCTCGTCCTCCTCCTCCTCCTCCTCGCTCGTCGTCGTCGTCGTCGTCGTCCTCCTCCTCCTCCTCCTCCTCCTCCTCCTTCTCCTCGTCCTCATCCTCGCCCTCGTCTTCCTCCTTCTTATCCTCCTCCTCCTCCGCCTCCTCCTCCTACTCCTCTTCCTTCTCCTCTCTTCTTTTTCCTCTTCCTTCTCCTCCTCTTCGCTCGTCGTCGTCCTCGCCTCCCCTCCTCCTCGTCTTCCTCCTCCTCCTCATCCCCCCCCTCCCCCCCTCCTCCTCCTCCTCCGCCTACCTCCCTCCTGCTCCTCCTCCCCTTCCCCTCCCCCCTCCCGCCTCCCCCTCCCCCTCCCCCTCCCCTACCCCCTGCCCCCTCCCCTCCCCCTCCCCCACCTCTCCTCCTCCTCCTCCACCATCCGCTCCTCCCTTCCCTCCTCCTCCTCTCCTCCTCCTTCCCCCTCCTCCTCCTCTCCTCCTCCTCCGCCTGCGTCCTCCTGAGCCTCCCTCGTCCCTCCTCCTCCATCCTCCCTCCTCCTCCTCCTGCTCCTCAAGCGCGTCCTCTTCCTCCCTCCTTCTGCAGCTCCTCCTCCTCTGCTGCTCCTCCTCCTCCCTCGCTCCTACCCTGCTTCCCCTCCCCTTCCTCCTCCTCCTCCCCTCCTCCTCCTTCCTTCCTCCCTCCCCTCCTTCCTGCTGTCCCCCCCCCTCCTCCTCCTGCCTCCTCTGCTGCTCCTCCTCCTCCTCCTCCTTCTCCTCCGCCCTCCTCCTCCTCCAGCCTCCACCTCCTCCTCCTCCTGCCTCCTCCTCCTCCCGCCTCCTCCTCCTGTCCTGCCTCCTCCCCTCCTCCTTCTTCCTCCCCCTCCCCCTCGCCCTCCCCCTCCCCATCCCCCTCCCCCCCTCCCCCTCCCCCAATCCCCGTCCCCCCCCCTCCTCCTCCCCTCCTCCTCCTCCTCCTCTTCCTCCTCCTCCTCCTCCCTCCGCCTCCTCTCCTCCTCCTACTCCTCCCTCCTCCTCCTCCTCGTCCTCCTCGACCTCCTCGTCCTCCTCGGCTCCTCGTCCCTCCTCCCCCTCCTCCTCCCTCCCCCATCCCCCGCCTCCTCCTCACTCCTCCTCCTCCTCCTCCTCCTCCTCCTCGTCATCGTCCTCCTCGTCCTCATCCCCAAGTCCCCGGGGGCGCATTCCCTGGGAGACTCGTCTTTGTTCGTCCTGGGTTTGATGCTGTCCCAGGCCCCCTTCAGTAATGCAACCCATGGGGGAACTTCGAGAGCACCCAGCTCCACGTGTGCGTGCCCTGCTGGGTTGCAAGAGACGCCCTCCTCTGGACGACGACCTCCCTGCTCACCACTGCGATGCCTGCCCCCAGGGCCCGTGGAACTCCCAGGCTAAACCAGGCTTGGATATCGTTACCTGGCTCGTTCTCTTTTGAGGGGGCCCAGGGACACACAAATAAATGGGCACAGGTCCCAGGATCCCGAGATTTCCCATACGTTATGGATCTTCGTCTTCCTTCCCTCATTTTGCATATTTTCCAATGTTTTTCAAGGGAATCGACGGTTACTTGTGGCTGCGTTTGTTTTTCCCTCCTGATTTTTGACCGCCCTGGGGCACGGCGGAGGGCCCTTGGAGCCCGAGGACGGTGACCAACCCTCATGGGTTTGTCTCCTCCGGGACCCTGCCGTCCCCGTGCCGACCCTGCGGCGCTGCAGGGCAGGACCCAGGCAGCCGCGACGCCCAGGCAGGCCAAAGCAGGGGCAGGCCGGAGAGGCGGGGAGAGGCAGGGGCAGGCATCGGCCACTTTCAAGGCAGCGGCGCAGAGGGTCCTCAAGCGCGATAGGGGAACAAGGAGTGGCATAAACATAAAAACCCGGAGGTCCGCGCGGATTTCTCGGATCGGCGTTGGACCCCCCTCCCTGGCGCGCGGAGCGCGCCAGGGGCGGCGCCGCAGGCTCCGCCAGGGGGGTCCCAGCGCGGATCCGAGGGATCCGCGCGGATCTCCGAGTTTGTATGTTTATGCCACTCTTAGTTCCCCTACAAGCGCGGGCAGCAGATGGACAGGGGTGGCACTGCCCAACCAAGAGCGCGCGCCTCGGTGCGCGGCCTTCGCGCGGTGCACGGGGGAAGCCGACACACGAGCGCGCGCGGCCGCTGCCGCATCGCATTCTCATTGCACCGACCTTGCAGACGTGCTGCAGCAGATTTTTGCGTGGATTTCTGTCAGTGCGAAGCTCCGAACCGGCAAGCGAAACACAACGTGGATTTCACGTGGATGTGTTGCAATTGTCATGCCTGGCCAAACCCGCGCGAAATTGACGTCGAAATCCGGAGCGACATTCTCCAGGACAATCTGGGCCCATCCCATCGTTTTCCGAGCGCAATCCGCTCTGCGATGTTGGCGCCATGACGCCTTCGGCGATCGGGGGGCCCCAGGTCGCCCCGTCGAGGGGCCATTCTTACGTGCACAGACGGGCCAAGGATAGAAGAGCATCCTCCGCCTGCCAAACTGAAGAACCTTAAAGAGTAGCTTTCCCCAGGCTGCAGAAGAACGTGCAGCACACACGAAAAACAGCAGGGCACCCTCCCCGAACCGACCGAAGTCTCATACCTCGGCCCGGCCGTAACCGAAGGCAGAGTGAGCAGCTCAACCATCCCGGCACACCAGCGGAGAGGCGCTGACCCCCTCTGCCCACAATTGGCCTGTCGCCATCCGCCCCTGTGCCCGCCCCACATTTGGACGCCCTCAATAGGCACGGAGAAAATGGACACGATGCCCACCAACCAAAGCTATCCAAGATCGATAGCGGCCGCTGTCAGGCAAGCGGCCTTCTGTCTCAAAAGGACAGCGTCCGCAGCGACGCCGAGAGCGAACCCAGTTCAAGATGGACAAGGACTGCTGTCGGTCTCCGCGCCCATTCTTTCTATAATTACCCATTTCAATCACACCGGCCATGCAATGGAGGCCCGTCCGCAAGAAACCTTCTACAAGACACCCAACCCTGAGACCCCAGAACGTCCATTGATTTTTGATGCGGGAACGTCACGTTTTCCATGGCAAATCCATCGAACCCCCAAGAAACCCAGGGCACCCTGGGGGCAAGCAGGGTGTTTTTTCTTGGCATGGGCCCCCCCCACTGTAGGCCCTCGTGCAGAGGCCCGCGAGGGGGTCGGCCCGCCCCGCCGCGCGGGTCCGCTGAGCCCATGGCCCACCACAGCAGCAAGCCGGCAGACGCTGCGAGAGGCCTGCGGCGGGGATGGCGTCGTGCCAGAGGCTTCCGCGTTCTCGCCGTCGCCGTCCTCGCGGTGGTGGTCGTCGTTGGCAGGTTATCCGTTATCCTCCTCCTCCTCGCCCTCGCTCTAGGCCCCCTCCTAACCCCCTTTCCCTTCCCCACTCCCCTTCCCCTCCTCCGATGCTGCCGCCTCCGCGACCCTCCCCCGCCTTCCGCCCCCTCCCGGGCCCAGCCTTGTCGCCATACGTGGCGCCATACCCGCCGTGAGAGATCCTCAGAAGCCGCTGGCGATCTTCAAATCTCGAAGCGCCCGCGCCCGCGCCGCCGGCTTGCCGGGGACAGCTCGAGCCTGCCCGCATCCGAGGCTTCGGACCCAGAAGTGTCCCGCTTCCTGACGTCCTATTTCTAGGGGAACGAACACTGACATAAACATAAAAACTCGGAGGCCCGCGCGGATTTCTCGGATCGGCGCTGGGGCCCCCTGGCGGCGCCTCCGGAGCCGCCCCTGGCGCGCTCCGCGCGCCAGGGAGCGGGGTCCAGCGCAAATCCAAAAAATCCGCGCGGACCTCCGAGCTTTTTTGTTTATGTCATTTTTCGTTCCCCTAATCTCTGGAAGCCCTGGATCCACACACGCTTGTCATCCTTTGGGGGCGCATCTGTTGCTCCCGCCGGCTTCCGCGGGCCCTCCGCACTGGCGGCGCTGCCCTCGTTTTACGTCCATCCCGACCCCGCGCGGAGGACGAGATGTAAACCTCCCCGCTCGTCGGAGCCGAGGCCCTCCCTTTTTAGTTGCTTGTTTGTTTGTTTGCTTTGTCTCGCAGCAGTGGTAATGATGAGGTAACAGTCGATGACAACTCCGTGAGTCGCCGCGTGGATTTGCGCTACCCGTCGTAATGGCGCTGGCCGGGATGCCGCTGGAGCCGAGGCCCTCTCTGAGACGCCCCATGTGGCCCCCTGGACCTCCGGGTGGATCCTGACGGGGATCCAGGGCTGCAGGAAAGTGGCACTACAGTCATCGTGCGAATTACCACGGGGAGCGCTTGAGAAGGACCGAGGGCGCTTCCCTGGGAACGGCAAGCCTGAGCCACGAAGATGCTCCTCGGCCCAGGTCTGAGGTCCGAACACTGGAGTCCCTTCTGAGCCCAACGCGGTCCTCATTTCAGCGTCTGGCTGTAGTCAGAGGTTTCTCGAACCTGCCACTCTACCCGAAGGTTCTGGAACGCCTTCCTTCACCCCCCGACTGCACCCCCCCCTCCGTGGGCATCCAGACCTCTGGATCCCTTCCCCGTGGCTGGCTCTTCCTTGATAGCCGCAGGGCCTCGAACTGAACCGCCCTGCGAGACGGCAAAAAAACGGGCCGCCTCCACTTTGTACAGCCGCTGGGCAGCCAGAACTCCGAGCAAGATCCGTTCATAATCGATCCCTGGATCCATCCCAGAGTCCACCCTGGCCAGTTTCTGGAGCCGCGTCCAGCCGAAAACCTCCTGAAGCCTTTACAAACTCTCTGGAACGACGACGTCGACCTCCGAAACAACATCGCCCATACACGTCACAACAACAATCCGAAACGAGAGCCGCCGGATGCCCAGATATGGGTTTCGGGCTGTAGTGAAACTCGAACCCCGACTAAGTCGGGCCTGTCCCTTTACAGGAGGAAAATTGACAAATAGTCAAAAAATAGTCCGGGGACGTTCGACTATGTTCGGATTATTTTTAAATATTTTCTGATCATTTTTAAGATGTTCATCCACAATCCGCCTGTAAAGGGACATGCCCGACCTAAATCCAGACCTGTCCAAGGGTGTGATCTGGCCGGAAAACTCCCGGACATCTCGATCCTCAAGCCTCGATGCCGCCGAATCCTCGACCCTCCCCCCTCGAGCCTCGACGCCACCGAATCCATCGAACTTCGAACCCTCTGTGCCCCAGGATGTCTGGGGACCCTGCGGTCAGGTCGGGCATGCTCCCCCATAGGCGGCTTTTGGACGAAACATGAAACGTAGCCGAACGAACAACTCAAAGATCGTCGAAAAAGAATCGAACCATCGCCCCCCTGACTCTCTTCCTGACTATCTTTGCTTATACTCCTCCTGCAGGGGGCCCTGTTGGAGGCCTAGAAATGGGCACCAAGACCAACACAAGGGGTTGCCTCCACAGGGGGAAGACGATCCTCGATTTCGGTGTTGGTGGCAATAGTTCGGCCACCCTGGAAGCCAGAATATTACCACCATCACCGAGATCGGGATCTTCCTCCCTCGGTGGATGCACACCGCCGATCTTGGTGTTGGTGTCAATCTCTAGGCCTGCGACCCTGCCCGACTTCACCCTGCGGCCCACAGCCTGAGCCGCCCATCGAAGGCCGCCGCGGGGCGGAGGGCGGCGGGCCAGGGCGGGGCGCCCGGCCTGAGGGCCGCCGCCAGCAGGGCCGCCGCCGCCGCCGCCGCCCCCGCCGCGCAGACCTGCGCGAGAGGGGGCGACGACGACGGCGGCGTCGGACGACGTCGGCGTCAGGTCAGCGGCGTGTCCTCCTACGGGCGGATCTTCTACGACAGATCACACGTGAGCCACAGAAGATATCACACATAATCAAAATTTGACAGAAGAATCGTCCCCGTACAATTTTTTGACTATTTGCGAATGTTCCTCCTGTAGAGGGACAGGCCCGACTTAACGTCAGCGGCAACAGCGACGACGACGACGTCGAACGACATCGGACGACGACGCCGGACGGTGGCAACTGCCGCAGCGACGGCGGAGACAACTCGGACGTCAACGGCAGCGACGGCGACGGCCGCGACGAGTGCGACGACGACAATGGCGACGGCGAGCGACGTCCGACGGCGACGACGACGGGAACGACTTCGTATGACGACAAAATGGACGTCGACATTAGCGACGGCGACGAACACGGCGACGACGATATTGGGATTGTTCGATGGCGCGCGCGGGCGTGGCCGCGGTTCCGGCATCCTGCTCGACCCGCCTCCCGCCTCGGCCCTCCCAGCGACCCGCTTCGGAATCCTCTCTCCTCTCTCCTCTTTCCTCTCTCCTCTCTCCTCCTCCTCCTCCTCCTCCTCCTCCTCCTCCTCCTCCTCCTTATCCTCCTCCTCTGTTTAGCACGCGCAGCCGCCACCAATACAGCGCGCCTCTCTTGAGAACACTTTGGCATCTCACGGTCTCACCCTGCCCGCACGCGCCGCCTGGACGCAGGGCGTCCAAGCGGAACTGAACTGAACCTCCCCCTGCCGCCCCCCTCCCTCCCTAGCTTCCCCTGGCGTGCAGGACGCGGGCCCCTGGAGGCAAGTGGCTCTGGAAGCGGGCCCTCGCTCGAGATGTGTGTGTGTGTGTGTGTGTGTGTTTTTACCTTGCCGGGCAACGGTCGTCACCCATGGGGGAGGGCGGAAGGGGGGGACAGGGGGCCCCAGGTAGCAGCAACGCTGGAGCAGGGTGGGCACGCCGGGGAGGGGGTGCGCTGCGCTCACCATAATCTGCGCACGTTTGGGGGGAGTCCAGGCCCCCCCACCAAAAAGGTACGATCGTCAGCGTGACCCTCGTGGGGGCGGGGGGGGGGGCAGGCAACGACTGTTACGCGCCACTGGATAACAGCAACAACAATCTCCGCTTGTCCACGGGCCCTGGGGCCGCCGCCACGGGCGGTGGCTGCGAGCGCGGCGGCCGTCGACACAGGCCGCGGCCGCGGCGGCGGCGGCGGCGGCGACGCCGCCGACCCCCCCCCCCCTCCCCCCTCCTCCCCGGGAGGCCGCATCCAGCAGCCGCCTCAGCGGGCGATCTGCGGCGCGGCCGCCGTCCGCGAAGGCGCCGCGGCCGCCTCGTGCCGTCTCTCTGGGCCTCCCCGCCCGTCGGTCGGGCCATCGATCAAGGCTCGGGTTTCGAAGATCCAGCCCTCGTGCTACCATGAGGAACATGTGATAGTCGAAAGGGCTTCTCTGACCACGGCGAGCCTCGGCCCGAAAACCAGAGCCCCCCCTGAGCCCGAAGTGGTCCTCATTCCACCGTCTTGACTGCAGAGACCTCCTAGATGTGGTCCGGGTAAATCGGGTCGGAGGATTGCACCGCATCGCCGATGCAACGTCGGCGCGCAGAAAATCTGGCTCCACATCGAGCCGCATCGCCGATGTATCGGCGATGCGTCGGCGATGCGGCGCGATCCTTTGATCCCATCTGCTCCGATCCCATCTGGGAGGCCTAGAGAAGGTGTTTCGCCACGCTTTGCCTTTGGAGGCCTGCTTCGAGTCCCAAGGCCGTCAGAAACATATCCGTGATGAAAAGTCGCACAGGATGGGCCCCGGGAGAGGTTTGGGACCGACGTTGTTGTGGACGTCGTCTTCGTCTGCTGCTGCTCCTCAAAGGGGAGGGCACTGGCGACGACGAGGAGCAGCAGGAGAACGAGGAGAGGGAGGCAGAGGATTTTTTCTAAGAGAAAGGCAGGATGAAGATGACTTCGGTAGACTTAATTCGCGAGGCTCGGATAGCTGGCGTGTCTGGAAGATGCATCTGGCGCCGCGGCTGTTAGAGCGTTTGGAATGCCGTCAAAGCGTTTTGGGTGATGGGCCGCTCTGGAGCGATTCATCCTCAGCCTCAACAAGCCTGGCTGAGTTTCCTCCTCCGCAACGTTGTGCCAACGGCTGGTCGTAGACGAATGGGACGCGTCAACACAAATTGCAATTTCACATGTGTCGATCGTACTCAAGTCAACACCGCTTCCTCCCTGGAGTTTGGGGCGAGCCGAAGAGGCGGCAGCGGACGTGCAAGTACTGGCTGTGCGACGCTCCGGCGGGCCCGATGACGCACGCAAGCGAAGGAAGCCTGCCTGATCAGTCGCACGCCTCCCCGTGGCCCCCAGAGTCTTTTCAAGAGAGCCCTTTTGGGGGGATGCCGAACGGGGTGTCGGGGAAGTGGCTGCATGCCGCCGCTTGTTTTCTTGGCGCCTCCTGGCGCCGCGGAGGCGCCGGTGCATCGAGGAAAGCGCCCGGCGGCGGGGCTGAAACCAGCTGCATGCAGGAGACTTCGTACGCCTCCCATTCCCAACCCTCCCCCCTCATCCGCCCAGAAGGGGGGATGGGGATGTGAGAGGTCTGTTTTCTGGTTGCTTCACGGCGTCCCTCCTTCGTTCGCTTCTCCTCCTCCTCTTACACTCCCCCCATTCTCCTCCTCCTCCTTCCTCCTCCTCCTCCTCCTCCTCCTCCTCCTCTCCCTCCTGGGCGCCTCCTCCTCCCCCTATCCTCTCCTTCTTTCCTTCCTTCCTTCCATCCTCCCCCGCCTGCCTCCTCTCCCTCCCCCCTTTGGCCGGCCCGATCTCCGCCGCCGCTGCCCCCCGCGAGGGCTGCCAGGTTCAGCGCGCACAGCGCCGCCGGCGCCAGGCCCGCCGACTCGGCGCCGCCGCGTGCCCAGCGCCGCGGCGCAGGCCTTTGCGGTCCGGCGGCGTTCTCTAGCAGTTCTCTGTTGGTTTGTGATATTTGATCTCTCGTTTTTGTGTGCAACTGTTTTTCTGTTGAACACTTTCATACAACAAACGATTACTGTTGTTCCTCTCTGCGCGGTGCCCTTTGTGTGTGTGTTTCCGTTGAGGTGCCCCTCCCTGGGCTCGCACCCTGTTTTTACAGATAGGGGAATGTCCTGAGGCTCAGACTGCGCCCCTGGTCCCCGAACTACAGCAACAAACAACAACTGCTCCCGCCTTCTACTTCCCACAATTTATTCAAAATGGCGCCCTCGCGCGGGAGTTTCTCACTATTTATGCAAGAGTCGCGCTCTCGCGTGGGACTCCCTTCTAACTTATACGCGGTGCCCACTACACTCAGGAATCACTCCTTGGGAATCGCGCTATCGCTCAACAATTCCTCGCGATTCCTGCAAGACTGACGTTTTAACGACCCGCCCGCTCGACCCGGCCACCTGGGCCCGCCCGCCTGGCCCGCCTGTTAGGGCCTGCCAGCCCGACCCGTCCGTCGGGTTCTGCCACCTGTTTTCTGCTCCCAACCCCCCTCCTGCTTATCTCTCTCGTGCTCCATCCTTCTCTCTTCCCCTTGTCCCTTCCTTCCATCCCTCCTCTCTTCCACTGTATTAGTGGCTGCACCAACTACTCGTGGGAGGTATTGAAGATGTACCCCCATCGGGGCACGATCGAAGACGAAAAGGGCGGGTATCGAGGGTTTTGGGTGCACGTGTTCAGTGGCTCTCGAGCAGAAAGAAGCGACCAATCTTAAACTGATTGTTGTTATTGCTGCAGCTGCTGCTGCTGCTGCTGCTGGCGGCCGATCTCGCAGGGCCGTTCGAAGGCCCCTGGGGCAACCTTGAGGGCCCTGGCAAGCCGCCCTGGGGTCAGCCCAGCAGGGGGAGAGCTGCTGCAAAGCATTCCGAGGGCCTCGGGCCGAGGCAAGATAACTTCCACTGAACATGTGATCCAAAATATCATCATCAATTTAAGAAATCTGGGCCAGCTTCCCGGAAGATTCTTAAAGCAAGCCCGGGTCAACTTCTGCTGCTCACGCTGGAAGGGCAAACGCACTCAAGAAACTGGACCAGCTTTGCGGCAAGCTGGCTAAGAAACGCTGGCCCAACTTTTCAGGAGGCTTCTCAATCAGATGCTCGACTGCTCCCAATGCCCAACGGACGCCTCCTCCGCGAACCAACGACAGCTTCCTCGACCCCCCCCCCTCTCCCCCCCCCCCGACGCGCCCCCGAGCCTCGCCGCCTCTCGCCACTCCGCCGCCGAGAGGCCGAGGGACAGTGCGCGCCGGCCCCTGGCGCGGGGATCCCAGGCCTGCGGCCGCAATGCGTCATTCCGGATCCCCCAGACGATTCCGCTTCACGTCGTCCGGACGTCACTTGTGGAGTCCAGAGCCCGGAAAGCGGGGCGCCAGCAAGGCCTTCTAACACCTCTCGAAGGAACTCTGGGAGCTCTTGGAAGGAGATTCCGAAGGAGCTTCTGGAAAGCTGAACAACACACGTATTGGGAAATCATCAGAAAAGGCCTTGCGGGACCCGCTGCGAATTCAAGCAAGTCGCTAATTACGGGGATCGCACTCCGGGGCTACACTGCGGTGCCGGCTTCTAATATCACAACCCGTAAGCCCTCTACGGGCTATCCGGGAATTTCGTCCGCTTCGTTTCGTCCGCTTCGATTCGTGCTTCACGGGGTCCGAGAATTCGTGCTCCAGGTCGCGCCGGATCGCCGATGCATCGGCGATCGGTGCGTCTCGATCCTCCGACCCAATCTACTCTGGCAAATTGGGTTGCCAGGGCCCCCCAGACCTCCCATCGTCGCCCCAAAAGCACGACGGACATGATTATGTTGTATGGTTTGGCTTCCTGGAGTCGGTCTCGGGCTTTGGGACATTCGAAAACCAACCCAAGATCAAAAACCAACTCTCTGGAAAAGGTCGGGACTTCCGGGGACATCCCGGACACCCAGCAGCTCGAGAAAACCGAGACGGCCAATTCTGCAAACTTCGGACGCTGCGGAAACTGGTTTCGGGCCTCAAGACCGTTGAACACTTTCCGGGATGAAAACAAATTCGAGACCGCAGCACGAGAGGCCTGGGGACCCATGTCTCGACCAAAATCGAGCCGTCGGTTGTCAGGAGCTCGCCTTCTGCCCTTCGATTCCAGTTGCTCTCGCGTGCTCTCCATCTCCGTTTCCGTCTCCATCTCCGTGTCCCCCTCTCTCTCTGTCTGTCTCCCACTTCCTCTACCTCGCTTTCTCTCTCTCGCGCTCTCGCATCCTCTTCTCTCTCTCTCTCTTTCTGACTCCCTCCCTCCCTCCCTCTCCCTCCCTCTCTCTTTATCTCTCTATCACTCTCTCTATCTCTCTCCGTCTCTCTCTCTCTCTCTCTCTCCCTCTCTCTCTCTCTCTCTCCCGTATCCTCGCCCCATCTCGTTCTTGTATCAGGAGGCTCCGTGGCGCAGCTTCTGCTCAGGGGCAGATCAGCCCTGCTACCGCAGCGAGTCCTGCGGCGACGCCGCTCTCGGAAACCGTCGCCTCGCCTCAGGCATGCGACGGCTCGCCGCTTTTCCGAGCCATGGCCCCCAGCACCTCTCGACCACCTCTGCGGGACCAGCTTTGCTCCTCCCGGGAACTTGCTCGACGGCCCCCCGAGGGCCCGAAGCCGGCCTCCGGGGGCTCAGGACCTGTAGAACCCTGACCGTCTACATGTTTTTGTCGAGCCGTCGGAGGTCGGGGGCGGCGACGACGTAGTCCGAGAGGGAACGACTCGGGGAGGGCGGGCTCGGTGTGGGAGCGTCGACCCAGGATTCGGCGACACATCGCCGATGGATCGGCGACAGGTCCCCGATAGAGCGAACCCGCAGGATCGAGTTGTCGGGCCCCTCTCGGCGACGAGCGGGCGATTGGGGAGCTCCCTATGGGGCCACGAAGCGCTGTACTGGGTGGGTGAAACGCAGGGAGGAGGAGGAGGAGGAGGAGGAGGAGGAGGAGGAGGAGAGGAGGAGGGGAGGGAGGAGGAGGAGGAGGAGGAGGAGGAGGAGGAGGAGGAGGAGGAGGAACGCGGGGACCGGTCGATGCGTCCTCCCCTGAGGCCATCCCCCCCTGACACTGCCCCTGGCTTTCGGATCTTGACTCGGATCTCTGGCGGTCGCCTGGGGTATTTCCAACGCCCCCGGGAACGCCCTCGGCGAGGCGCAGCTGCTGGAAAGCCCTCCGAGACCAGAACGCCGCCGAGAAGCGACGGAAGCTCTCGACAAACCTCGGACCTCGAACCCGAAACGTCCCCCTGACGTGAGCCCACCCCCCCACCTGACGGTACCCCTGACGGCGCCGCGCGCCCCCTTGGCAGATCAACAATGGGTT